GCTGTTCAACAATCTTAAATGCCTTCTTCAAGAATGGTAAGCGTTGGTCTCCTATTGGAGCTGAAGTTACAGTCTCAGGCAAAAACAGAGCCATATAAAGAGAGCAAAAGATCAAGAGGGTAATTGAAACCTGAAATGGAAAGATTAATTTCTGATAAACAGTTTCAGAAAAATTAAGAAACCAATAACTGTAGGGTAATGCTCAGATTATTATGGTGACATGCCACAAAAATGCTATCCTCGGGAAGAAAACGTGCAAGAACATTTCCCAGGACATGGGAAGCAGAAAAAAGTCCCATCATCCAGCATAGACCAGTAGTTCTTTTGTTGTCATCGATGACATCTGCCTGTAAGTGAACAGAAAATTGGCTTTTATCACTTTTATACCACCTCGTAATGGTTTTGTGCTCAAAAGTTTGTGTAAAGGTGTTACCACATATGCAGCAGCAATGCAGAAAATACTTCCTTGACTTATGATGAAAGAAATTGTGCGAAGTACGTAATAAGCATACACAAAGCTCTTTGACTTACTGATGATGAGCAAGGCTGCCAAAGTAAAGATTAACAGCTTCAGGAATAAAATTAAAATTTTCGAATAAAAATGTCCACAACTTCAGGAAGATTGACAGGAAAGGATAATTTTTGTATTTCAGTTGAATAGCTTCCTTTAAAAGAAAAGGCAAAGTAGAAGACAAGAATTCAAAATTTGAAAGTACTTACAAAATGGAAATATAGTAGTTGACACAGTAATAAGGAGAAGTGGCTTTCGACCATAATCATCTGAAAGTTGGCCTAAAACCGGAAGAACCACCATTTTGAATATTCCAACAACCTATGCGTGAGAATACTAATTAGCTTCACAAGCAAATGCATGCCATACAAGCAAAGAAAGGAGAAGGCCAAGAAAAACACAGAAAGTAAGTAAACATATCAAAATAATGCAACCTATGAACTTCCCACATTTTCCAATAAACAGCACTATTGACCATGTCAAAGAATACCTTCCAGCAATTATTTCTTCTATTTGTACTCCTAAAATGAAAATGTTATTCTAGTCCCTAGCAGCAAAACATTTGCCTCGCACTTGATTCGTTTTTGTTCACCTGTTATCACTCAAATTTGCGGCTTAGATTATCTCTCCCTTAAACAGTCAGTTTGCCTTTTGGAAATTGAATCGGCAAAACAAATATATGCTAAACTGAAAGCATTATTCTCAGGCTCATTTACCTTGGGTCAACAAGTTCACCATGCTCTAACATGTACAACAATCGATATGAACTTTGATATCATTTGTTTTGAATACGTAGTGGCTGAACACTTCCTTAGGCAAGATTCATCTAGAAAGTCAACCAAAATGCCAGACAAGAATTCCATTATCACTATCTTGAATAATGTACCATAAGAAACTCTAGGGATCACAAAGGTTTTAGTGGATGGAGAGGAGAAATCAGCCTCTAGAAATGGAGCCAAAAACCGTCCACAACTTTTATAATCAGCCCAACGAGGTGCAAAAGCTCATTAATGTCAGTCTTATGAAGGCTTTCAATCAAAGGAAAAGGAATACTCCAGATGTGATCCTCCGAGAAGGTCAAATTTTTACAAATCTTAGCAAAAACAAATCCAGAAGAATAGTAAAGCCACCACTCTATCATTGTCAGGGTCCATGTAGTGACATTATTATTAAAATATCATTCTCGAGCTGGATAAAAAATTCATTTCAGTGAAAATAAGTAGCTATTATCTTTCTCAATGCTACATAGATTATTCGGCAACATCATCAAAATTTTCTATATAACTTTATCACCACAAGAAGGGAAATGATTAAGGTGAGAATAAAAAATAGTTAAATAGTTAACAAATGGTAACTGCATATTAAGAATATCCAAACCTGCGTTATCTGCCATAGACAACACGTCAAACTGAAAATAAAATAGTGAGTACAAAAGCAGCACGCCAGATGGAGAAGTAACCATGAAGGAACAAAATATTTGGGGGAAAACTTGCAGGCACCATCAATTGACAACAACAGCCTAAGATCAGGAACTAAGGTCGTCAGAAGCATATAATTGGCTGATAGTAGAAACAATTTGAAGAACCCATTCTTTATTCACCATAATCCAAACCATGATTACAAGAAAGGAAGACTCCCTCGAATTATTTTGTCCATCTTCTTGAAAACAAAAACAGAGAAATCCCACTCTAGATACATAGACACCTGCCCTGGTGCATCAAACATCGACACATACGAACAGATATACATGTAAAAGACACAATTAAAGAAGGAGGGTTGGGGTGATCATTCACCACATTCATATATCAGGATCAGTCACCACCTGTCCAAGAAGCGGGGTAAGAGGGAAAAATTGAATTTCATACAGATGTAGTAGCTCTTACAGTTTGCTGAAGACCATTGAGGTAGATGGCTTCTTCGCAAGTGGAGTGGCCAGGACAAAGAGCATCAGTTGTGACATCCACAAGAACTGATTTAGTCATCTCTTCAGCAATCCAGTGAAAGCATAGCGGCAGCAGTAGGTGCACCAGAAGTCTAACTTCTCTCTTGTCTTTCCACCACCCCATCATCTTTTTTCGTTTGTTTCTTCTCTTCTCAACACTCTCTTCTGAGTCTTTTTCTCAAACAAAAGAGCCTTGAACGGACGCAGCAGTATCATAGAATAATGCCAGTATCCATCAGTTCAACTGACAGTGCCAAAGAGAGGGTACTATCTACTATGGTTTCAAGCACTTGTGAATTGTGATGGCATTTTATAAGGCAAGTGGCAGTTGGCACGGCAACAATCAGACTGAAAACAGATATAAATCCACAAAATTGCTTGTACTACTGCATGCTCCTCGCCGTTGCCAGTTGCCGATGAGGCATTGGGCTTCAGTTGGAAAAGTCGCAATCCCATTAAATGTACCACGAATAGGAGAAGGCCCTTATCCATAAATAATTGGACAGAGCACTAGCCTGGCACGTTAAAGTTTGGACTCGGAGGATGGAAATCGTCAAAAACCCCTCTTTTAGGAGTTATTTTCTATACAACCCCTAAAGATTTGGTGTTTTTTTTTTTGACACCAACGTCCCCCTCCAACGGGCTTCCTCTTGTCCATCTACCAATACGCATACGTATTAGATTTGCTTTCTGTAAAATTACGAAGTTTAAATACTCATGAATATGGATTTATGATGGAATTTCAGGACTCTTGCAAATTCTTTTGGTTAACTAAGCAAGGGGCCTGTTCATAGTAAGTACATATCTCAAAGGGGGAAAGTGAAATTTTCATAATTTTATGTACAGATTACACAAGGGAATAATGGCGGGCGTGCGCGCGCGCGCTCGGCAGACAAGAAGCACGTGAGGGCCGTTGATGTTCGTGTGCCCTGTAATGGCTTCCATGCACTAAGTGAAACTTCATCTCTCTCAACTATTGTCTTATGATCTCTTGCCCGTAGCAACAAGGGATTTAAAGGACGTCATCTTCATCTTCATATGGTTGGTAGCTACATAATGAAAGTTTCTCAAGATTTTTCCTCTGGCGTAATAAATGCAAACCTAATGTTTTCACGATTTGAATAAACTGGTCGTTTGAAGCCGACGGTTGGTTTTTCAACTTGATTGACAAAATGACATCTTAGGTAACGTGTAGTACCCGAATGTTGTTAGAAGAGTTTATCATGCCTTTTCATTCTCATTTTGGATAGATTGGATTAAGGAAGTAATCGAATCGAATAACTCGTGAACAGTTTGCGAGTAGTTCAATCAAAAATTTGACTTACACTTGGTCAAAATTGAGTGCCAGTAGAGCGCAATTAATTTGATAATTATTCAAGTCGAGTTCAAGTATTGATTTTTCAAATTTGATGGCTCGTCGAGCCTTACCGAGTACAAAGTAATTAATTAAAAATTATATATTTAGTTATTACAATTTTACTCTTTTAGACTTGTGAATTGTATAAATTACCAGAATTACTTTTTTAGTCGAGTCAAGTACTCGATCTCGATCATAATTGCAAGAAAATCGAGCATAATCGAGTCGATCCTGAGTTTTCGAATCGTTCTTCGAATTTGAGTTCAAACTCCATTTCTGCTACTCGCCTGTTTCATGAATATTGAATGTTGCCAATAAGGCTTCCAATTTTTTTTTCTTGGTAATATCCAAGTTTGGATGGATGTAATTTTGATTGTCACCACAAGACAAGACATGTCTCTAGACTATAAATTCTTTATACGAATTCTTACAGATTATCCACTGACACGGTCCTCCTCACGTCGGCAATAAAATTCGAGTAAGTTGTACTGTGAAAAAGTTAGAATGCAAGCATTCCTTTTTCTTTTCATCGGCTAGTTAAAGTTTTCTTATTATGGCATAAATTTCAGTAACAGCCTTACCAATTACAAAAACCACGTTTTCAGCAATCTTGAAAGACTTGTGACCATCTTTCTACGTATTCTAATCTGGATGCAGAATTGCCGTCTAAAATATGGCAGCAATATACAACAATTTTCCAACGAAAACCCAAATTTTCTGTTCGGTAAAGTATATAACTAAGAACAAAATTTAACTATGTATCTGCCAGGAGAAGAAACAATGCATTTCTGGGAAATGGCTAATTGGCTAATACATGGCAATAGCCTAATCATCATATTTACCATACAGGATAAGAGAAATGCCACAGCTTCAGAAAACATGCTGACCAATCTAAATATGGTTACTGGCACCATCCATTTTTTGACGAGAGTGGTGTTTCCACAATTTCAGAGGCCATCCTGATCCAGCCTCGTAGGTTTATTGGCACCGCACACTATGACAAGAAAGGCGCTTCAGCATTTTCTGCATCAACCTCGGAGAGTTGATTTGAAGTATTTGGCTTTAGCATCGAAGCAAAACAAAGTGAAATAGCCTAACAAAATGAAGCACCAGATTAACATAGTTGTTCGATATATCATCGAATTTCATACGGTGGGTGAGAAAGCAAGAATGTATAGAGGCATTACCACAGCAAATGATGCACATACGAAGCTGAAACCCTTGCAGTCAAATGGTGCGTTTTTTCACAGAAATAAATCTGGAGCATGAAATCATTTACAATTAAGCAAAATCAAGAAAAGAATCTTTTGCAATCATAAAGAAACTGCCAAGTTGCCAACTCACTGGTCAGTGGTGTCATCGCTAGTGGCGACAACAAAATTGCAATAGACTGCACGGCTAAAATAAATCCTTGTGCCTTTCCCTGTCATTAGAGCATGAAGCCAGTCTCCAGGTTTTAATTAATCGAACTTCTGGTTAAGAAGATAAGAACAACAGATACATGTATAAAGAAGTTAGTTCACAAACCTGATCAGTTGAACTTGCCGCTTTTGATATGAGAGCAAAACTCTGTTATAGGCAAAAACTGATCAAACTGCAGTGCAGACACAATCGTGAAGTTTTTGAAAGCATAATAGCATGCATTGCATTTTATTAGTCCAGAAACTTCCAGAAGGCTTGACAAGGACATTAACAACTCCTAAAGAAGCAGTGAAGTACGGTACCTGTATTTGGAACGGCTGGTGATGAACGTTTCAAGGACATTCTACTTTCAAAATATAAGCTATACACTGCTGCCGCAATGTGATGAAAGTTGTAAACAAACAACAACAGATGCTTTAACATATGGAATTATGGATCTTTCGTGTATGGAGTGCTAATTTAGCACCAATAGAGAGTAAACATGGAAGAAGAATGCTTACTCTCTCGCTCTTTTCTCTTCTCAGAAGAGACAGTTTCCAATCTAATTTGAATGTAAAGAATTAGTTTCATACCCATGGAGCCCATGCTAAGCCATAAAGCAACGCCTGTAAAACAGAAAGTACCTCTCTGAGAAAAAAGATCCATGGTGTGAGTACTATAACAGGACTAGGTGTGAATATTTTAACTAGCCAACTTACATATACTGCGGACGAAATGCAAGCTGCACAGAGGACAACGTGCTCTCCAACCAAAGGACTTATCAATTTATACCACTCTTTGTACCCATCATTAGTTTTAAATATTTACTTATAATATTCAATAAACCTAATTATCAATTTTTTTCCATCCATACTTTATGTCGCAAAATTACATACTATTTAATAATTGAACAATAAGAATATAAAAATTTGAAATAAGTACTATAAAAGCTAACATAAAACCTTAATCCAAAAATTTTGATTCCCTAATATTTTTTTTTAAGTGTAAATTGAAAATTTCATTTTGGAAAGGTAGGAAAAGAGGATAAAACTTGTCATAAATTGGTGATGCTGAAAATGGAGTAAATTAACAAACTAAGATAAAATAAAATGATAAGATAAAATCAACAAAATAATAATAATGAAACAAAAGTAGTTAACATCATAACAAAATGAAAAATCCAAAAAAAAAAACGGTGGGAGAAGAGAGGAGGTTTGGGAGAAGATAATTCTAAATGGATTAATTGAATTTGATGGGTTATCTAATAAATAAGTATTATTGAGTAACGCATTTATATTCATATACAAAAACTTAAGATACTCATACCCATTTATTTATGGACGAATATTAAATGAATTTATTTGCTACCTATAGGCCTACATTTGATTGCTCGGTAGTGCTCTTGTCATCTTCTAGAGCATTGACATGGACTTGTGAAGACGTTAGGTGACATCAGATAACTAAAGAAATTCAAGCTATTATAATTCTTATTTAACTCATCCAAGCTCTAGCGCCTCAAAGTGTGGAGGTTAGCACCAATCCAATGGGAAGGAATTCTGAACCAACAAGGATGCTTCAGGAGGTGGTGGACAAGTGTTGCAGAAGCAAAATCAAGAAGAGAGGGCAATGAACATCTTTCCTTAACTGCCAATATCCTTTGGCAAATCTGGAAAAGCAGAAATGAGAAAGAATTCAATGAAAAACAGCAACTCTCAATGAGAACAATTCAGAAAGCTCAGGAGGAGTGGCTGGAATTCAAGGAAGCTACAAAAAAGACATTAAAAATGAGTACAGAAGAAACAGGAACTCAGGAGACATTCTTACAGCAACATGAAGAGAATGAAGACTCAATGAGACTGAGGCTAGCTATAAAAAAGATGAAGGACAAGCCCCAAATAGGAATAGGGATTACAGTTTCTGTGAACAGCCAAGAACATGTTCGAGGTTGGGCAATGCATGAGAGAGGCACAGGAAATCAGCTCGTTGATGAATTAGTAGCTGTCAAACTCCTAATGAGCAAAGCTGTTGTGCAGGAGTGGGGGAAAATTGAGGTCCAGATGGATAACAAACAAGTGTTCAATCTCATTATGCACAACAAAACTCAGGATATGCGCTTGACAACTTTGCTGGAGGATATTTATAGTTTGAAGTCTTTGTTTCGCATGTGCTCCTTTGGTTTAGTTAGTAAAGATCATAATCATGTTAGTAATATGATTAGCGTTTATGCGTTAAGCATCCTTCAAGACGAGGAACTTTGGTTTCCTTAGTGCCATAGTGCATTGGTTGTATAGTGCTTATCAAGCCTTTGCTTGATCTTGTAAAGTTTAAGTTAATCTATAAAATCACTTATTGTTTCGGAGAAAAAAAAAAAAAAAAAGCTCTAGCGCCTCAAAGCTCCCATTAACGATTCTCAAGTTTTCATACCTTTATTTTTTTTGGGCTTAAGCTTGTTCAAAGTTAACAAATGCTTGTTATGAGAAGCAAGAAGCAGGGATAATCTGAGGTCAGTGATCAACAAAATATAGATCAAGTACTTAGAGCTTATACTCGATACTCTTTGCCACTAAAGCAATCGGAGCAATTCTAGTTCTATTCATTCTTGGTTTTTTGTTCTCGAAAAAAATTATGTTAAAAAGGAAAAAAATGTATGTACATAGTAGTAGTTAGGAGCGAAACATTATCGGGTAATGGCTATTGTGCAGTCGTGGGCAAGTAGAAGGCCACAGCTTTCAAGTGGATATGACTCCTAAGTCGCCCCCAGAGGCTACTGTAAGCATAGTTTATGACAAGAGTGGTGCTTCAATGTTTTCTTCATCATTCTCTGAGGTCTGGTTTGAAGGATTCCGCTTTAGCATCCAAGCAAAAATCAGTGAAATAGCCTAAGAATAGGAAAGCATTGGAGTGAGGAGATTCTGGGCAAAAAAGTAAGTTCAGGGCTTCTGATCCATCAGGGAGTGATGGCGGGATGGGGAAGGAAGCAAGAAGGCCAAGGGGCTTACCACAGATATAGATGCACACACAAGGCTGAAACCTTTGCAGTTGAATGGTGCATTTCTTGACAGGAATAAATCTGGAGAATGAAATCATTTGTTAAGCAAAAACAAGAAAATCCTCTGACGTCTGTGTGAAATATTGCGAAGTTGCTGGACTCACTGGTCAATGGAGTCATTGCTAGTGGTGACAACAGACTTGCAATGGCCTGCACGCCCGCAACAAAACCTTGCGTCTTTCCCTGTGAGTAAAGCATGAAGCCAGTTACCCAACTAAACAGCTACCAAATTTCCATAACCTTGAGCTTTCATTTCAGTTTTTCAAATCAACCGAACTTTGAAGATAAGAAGACGTGGGGGCTAGAGAGACGGACGCATAAAGTCTACAAACCTGATCAGTGGAACTCGATGCTTGTGATATGAGAGCGTACGTCTGTTATACATTGACCAAGCTAGTTAAAATGGACTACAAACATAAATGATTCCTAGAAGTATAATAGCACACAGTAGCACATTGTAAGAACAGGCACTTACAGCAGGTTTCACAAGAATATTAACAACTCCAAAGGAACCAGCAAGGTACGGTACCTGTATTGCACAGTGGCTTGAGATCAATCAATATCTGAAGGATATTGTGGTTTTGATATCTGCTGTGGTAACTTGATGAAAAGGTAAAACAACAAAAGTAGATACTATCCGGTATATATGTTGTACTTGTGAAGACCAAATTTCATAGAATTGGAGATTACATATGAGTAGAGGTGTCAAAATGGGTGATTTGGGCGGGTTTGGGTTGGATAAAATGGGTAATGAGTATAAGTGAGTCAACCATTTATACATATTTAATTAGATGGGTATAAATGGGTAAGTCAAAAAATGAATTGGGTAACCCACTTATCCATTTATAACCCATTTATTTAACTTTTTATAAACTCATTTAAATTCATTTTTGCAAACTAAGTTATCAATTTATATCGCTCTTTGTACCCATCATAAGCCTAATTACCAATTTTTTTTTCCATTGATACTCTATGTCGCAAAATTACATATTATTTAATAATTGAATAATAAGAATATAAAAATTTGTACTAAGTACTATAAAAGTTAATATAAAAACTCAATCCAAAAATTTTGAACCCTTAACATTTTTTTCATATATATATATATATTTAAATTTTCATTTTAGTAGAAAGATAAGAAAGAGGCTAAAACTTATCATAAATTGGTAATGCTGAAAAATGAGCAAGTTAACAAACTAAGAGAAAATAAAATAATAAGATAAACCAACAAATAATAATAATAATAATGAAACAAAAGTAGTTAAAATCATGACAAAATGAAAATTTTGAAAAAAAAAATGGGTGGGGGAAGAGGAAGAGAATTCTAAATGGGTTAATTGGGTTTGATGGGTTACCCAATAATATCCATTTATTAAATGGGTATTATTGGGTAACCCATTTATACCCATATACAAAAATTTAAGATACGCATACTTATCTATTCATGGACGGGTATGGATAAATTTAGTTAAGTGGGTTGGTTTGCCACCTATACATATGAGGAAGTGCTAGCTCTCGATGTCTTAATCTATGCATCTGCCACGGACATACTCTACATACATACATTTATGTAAGGAAGGGTTCATACCCATGCAGCCCATGCCAAGCCATACAGCAATGCCTGAAAATGGTAAGTACTTCTATGAGAAAAAATTCCACAATATAAGCATTCATTAAAACTAGAGAAAGTTTGAGCTTCCAGGTTAAATTAACTGGGCAACTTACATCTGCTACAGATGAGAGCAATGCTGCACACAGGATAATTTTCTCCCCAACTATCGGATTGATGCTAGGAAACACCACCAACTTGACATAAAGCACATATAGCAAATTGTAAGTGAAGAAATTGTAGATGATATAAGGCATTTTAAAAGCCTAAAAGATGTGCTTTGCTGTGCAAATTAATTATGCCTCGAGATTTTTAGGAGTTCTCATATTTGTGTCTATCGCATAGACATATGATGTTTTTAAAGTCACTTTTTGTTAGTGAATTCTAATAAAAAAGACAGGCTTAATGAACTACCTGAGAAATGATAGAACCTACTCCTACCACCATCAGAATTTCTGAAAATTGATTTTTGTCAAAACCAAAAGCTGCCTTCAGATAATACTGCAAATG